AGAAGGGTTACTAACACAGTGCTGCGATACTGCCACAGTCTAATAACTGAGACGGCTATGTAACTAACGGGTGGTAATGCGTGCAGTGTGGACACGCTGGACAAAGGGATGATTCACGTCCCGGGTGGGACAGAGCAGAATGAAGTGAGTTCATCATGCTTCTTAGAATGGTGCGCAATGTAAAGTTATGAGTTGTTTATTTCTGGAATTTTCCATATATATTTTTGGACCTCAATTGACTGCAGGTAGCTGAAACCAAAGAAAGCAAAACCGTGGATAAGGAGGGACTGCTGTGTTCTTTACATACACTTCCTCACTTAAGTTTGATGCTGTCACAGAGGTCCTGAGAGAAGGGTAGGAGAATGAGGGTCCTTCCACAGGAGAGGGCTGCTTCCCATGCTAACAGCATAGAAAAGGGAAGCTCTGTGTTGCAGAGAGAGGTCCTTGGGGGTGGTGGGCGGGGCAGAGGGGTCACGTCCAGGTCAGTGACGATGACGTCCCAAGAACAAAAGAAGGTCAGGTGGGATGAGGGCCCAGAGAGAGGGGACATAGGACCAAATGTCAGGAGACCCCTGAAAATATGCCATGACACTTCCTGGGCTTGTTTCCTCATGAGCGACATGAGTGCGGCAGCCTCTATCCTCTCTCAGCTCTTCCACAACTCCATGCACCATATTCTAGAGGATCTTTTCCTGTTAAGTTCATTTTCCTATTTCATTCATTATTTGTGGAATGAATGAAAGAATGGATAAATGCACAAACAAAAAGGTGAGCCATCCAGTGACATCTCTAAAACATCTTATGCCATTTTGCTGCTGTCCCCACCAGGTACTCCTGGTTGCTAGGGGACCTGCTTGCTACCCTGAAGTCCCTTCACCTCAGCAAGGTGAAGTCCTTGCACCCTTTAGGTGCAAGAAGCAAGGCCCTTGTGCTCTGTCCCTTCCCACCCATAGAACGTTCAGCAATGATTCTTCCCAGAGGGGAGCCTTCCTTTTAAAACTAAGCACCTCCTGACCTGCTGGCTTCCCCTGTCTCTGAATTTGCCTGTTAGACTATGAATGATTCAGCACCCAAGGTGGACAAAGGCCCTCAGGCTGGGCCCATGGACAAGGTGAACATGTAAAAATACATAAGCACAGGCCTCCAAAAACAATGCTCAAGCCAGGTCCAGGGGACAGAGTATGGTACAGCCCAGGCCACACATCAACCCCAGGCCAGGATGTGCTCTTTAAAGGGCACATCACGCCCAGAATCAGAGAGGGTCTCTTGGCCACTTTCTGGCTGTTCTTTGCCTTAAGCCAGGTTTCTTGTTGTTCTATATGGATCAGGAGCTATTACAACAGAGGGGTTTCTTCCTAGACTCACCAAAAGATAGATCTACTTCAAATGCTAGCCCTTCCCCTAGAATCTTTCTTATATGCTTTACATCACTACTGCCTACCGAACTTCCAGTTCCAAGTCTTCTTTTTATATCCCCAAGTTGCAAGGCTCAGATTACATGAACTGAATGATTGAATGAACAGATGAACCTACATACATACAACTCCTTTTGTTTTCTAGAACAGAAGATCCAGAGAGGCAGAGAAGTTAGTTAACCTGTCCAAAGTCATAGAGCTAGTCACTGGTTGGGGAAGCTAGAGTTAAAAACCAAACTAAACTCTGTCTTAGCACCTTCACTAAATGGTATGGAAAAGGAGCTAACAGCAGTGTGTCACAGGCTGTGAGAAGGATATTATTATTTCCATTTAACAGATGAGAACATCTTTTGATGTTCTTTTCTTGACCTTCTTTTGTTAAGGCTCAGAGAGGTGTTCTCTGCCTAAATTGCTCCTCCTTCTTCCCGCCCACTCTTCCTTCAGGATCCAGCTCAGAAGTCATTTCCTTCAGGAAGCCTTTCTTCCCCGACCCCCTGAATTCAGGGTGCCCTCCTCTGCTGTCCCACAGTCCCGTGTGTGTCTGTCCCTGTGGTGGCGTGCATGCACTGCGCCGCCACAGGCTGCATCGATGACACTGTGAGCTCCTCAAGGGCAGAAGGCGAGGGTTGTTTCTTAATAAATCAAAATATTAACACTGGGCAAAAAGCCTGGTGCACAACAGAAGACCAGTAAATACTGTGGAAGAGAAAAGGAAGCAAAGAAGAAAGGGAAGAAGAAGGACAAGAAGGTTTCCAAAGCCACAGAATTGGAAGTGAGGAAGTTGGGATTTGAATCAAGCCTGGTTCCAGGGACTACGCTAGACACATGGGAACAACAACCTTTCCTCAAGGTAGGGACCCCTTTATTATATTCTTATGGATTTCTCTTAGAATTTGGCACTTTTTCAATCTCCAATTAACAAGCGCTAATCGAAGGACTTTAAACTTTCACAGGCAGTGACGGGCGTGATTTTCTGGGGTGCCCGTGTAGCTCACAACACGGGCACTGCAAATGGTGGGCGGTGCCTGCACGCTTGTGGTTTGAGCTGATTTCGATTCAGTCCATCCCACTGCGGTGACGACAGTGCCTCAGACCAGGGAAGAGCTGGCCACTGGCTCTCATGACAGCATTCAAGGCCTACGAGATGGGAGAGCCTGAAACCAAGGTCAAGTCTGTCTAAGTGTTTTAAGATTAAAGAAGCACTTACTGATATACAATGCAGAATATTTTATTGCCCCAGAGGTTTAGGAGTGGTTTCTGGGGTTTAAGCTCAGTGCATGGCCATGTAAAGCAGGCAGTTTCCCTGGAAGTCAGAAAAACATTGTGGAGAGCTGGTGTTACTGTGCTTTCCCCTCAAGGAGTTCACAAAAGGCATGGTATACAGAGTGCAATGAAAGTAAGTCATTCATCCAAAGACGAGGGCATACTTTTTCTCTCTGAAAATTCCAGTTCTGTCCTCATTTCCCACCCCTACTCCAAGATCAACACAGCTTTCACGAATTTTTAGTTAGGGTTTTTCTTTGAGATTTTTTCTTTTTCTTTTTCTTTTTTTTTTTTTAATTTATTTATTTATTTATTTTTAGACAGAAGGGAAAGGAGGGAAAAAGAGGGGGAGAGAAACATCAGTATGTGGTTGCCTCTCACATGCCCCCTACTGGGAACCTGGCCTCCAACCCAGGCATGTGCCCTGACTGGGAATCGAACCAGCAACCCTTTGGTTCACAGGCTGGTGCTCAATGTACTGAGCCACACCAGCCAGGGCTGAGATTTTAATAAAGGGTTTTAATAACCTTTTAAGTCGCACACCACACGTGACCTTTAGTGTCACTGCACACCTCTTAACAGCTATGATTTGGGAGAACGACCACAGCCAAGGCCATGTTGGGGAGTGAGGAAGTTACCAGATAGAAACCAGAAGACTTGGTTTGAGAAGAGCTCCTGCTCCTGCCTCCCGAGTGACTCTGGGTAAGTCCCAATCTCAGGGTCCTCCTCTGAGGCAAGGGCATGAAAAGGCCTCTCGGCTGATGCCCTGGGCCATCCTGAAGATCTACTGAGATCCTACTTCCTTGGGATATAGTTTAAGAAGTAAAGGGCACCTTGCCCTGGCCGGGGCGGGGGTGGGGGTCAGTTGGTTGGAGCGTTGTCCTAAATACCAAACAGCTGTGGGTTCAGTTCCCAGTCAGGGCATGTACCTAGGTTGCAGGTTCAGTTCCCAGTCTAGGTGGGTATAGGAGGCAACTGATTGATGTTTCTCTCTCTCTCCCTTCTTCTTTCTTTAAATCAATAAACATATCCTCAGGTGAGGATTTAAAAAAAATTAAGGGCACCTAAAATACAAGTAAGGTAGGGTATGGGCACATGTATCTAAACTTCAAAGGGGAATGAGGATTTACATATAAATCTGTGATCTAGATAATGGGAACTTCCTTCTTGAATAAAGGATTGTATTTGATTTAAACTCTAGGGACAGAACTTGTGTTCCCACACTAGATGACTCCCTTTTATAAGTAAGGCACACTGATGCAGGGTTATCCGCAACTATCCTCAGGGCTGTGGAGGCTATGAATTTACGTTATATTGATTTCCTCAAAACTGGTTGTCCTCTATCTTTTGTAATTCTGAGTTCCTGTGTTCTGAAAGTGTTTCTGTCTTTCATCTATGGTAAACAGCCATTTCTTCCTGCTGTCAAGCTCGATGTCTTTCAGAATTCCCCGTACTCCTGTTTCTAAACCATGTAAGAGGAGAAAAAACTAGAAACCTTGTTTGTTAAAATTGGGTGCAGTATGAGTCTGATTTCTATGAGCAAACCAAAGGAGTTTTATACATCTTCATAGTAATCTTCCTAAGGTCATGTGCCTCTCTGCTCAAAAGCTTTTTAATGCTTCTCATTCCTACCAAAACAAGTCCAGACACCGCAGGCTGGTACTCTTTTCAAAGCCTTCAATTATTTGCCCTCAGACCACATTTGCAGTGTATTTTCTCAGTATGCTCCAGGTGTTCCCCATACTCCGGGGCTGCCGCCCTTGGCCTCCTCTTGTGCCTTAAAATACCCCCCACCTTTCAAGGCCCAGGTCAAGGCCTCCCTTCCTCCTGCAGACTCCCTCAGTTACAAATAACCCCTCCCTACCCTTTGAACCCTCCTAACATTTTATCTTCATCACTCCCATGGCATGTATCACTTTCTGACTTAAAGGAGTGACTTTTTAAGGATCACGCATAGTTCTCTTTAATGTATCCTAAAACCTCCTTGGAGAGGTTCCCTATGAGCCCTGGTATTGCCTCTTGCTGAATGAATGCCTAAGTGAGTGGTGGCAAACACCCTGTGTGCTCTTGTTCTCGGAGCCACGCTTCTTGGCGTAGCCCACTGTGTTCTAGACATTCTACATTGCTGAGGCCGCTGCATCCATGAGCTCCTCTCAGGTTCACTGGGAGGGGAGCGGCTCTTGGGGTAATTGCTGAGCCAAGTCTCTGCCCTTCCCTGGCCTCAGCAGCACTCGGCTTGCTCTCCCCTGTGCCCTCCTGGAGGAGGGGCTGCCCTACGCATCCCACCTGTGTGCAGCGGCAGGTGGCCCGCGGGGCACTCACCGCTGCCGAGCCTCAGGAGCAGCACGTCCTGCAGCCTGCGGTTGAGGTCGCGGAGCTCCTTCATCTCAGACACAAGCGCCCCGCACTCCTTGAGCTTCTTGGCCTGTTGCACCAGCTGCCTCCGCGTCCGCTCCAGCTCCTGCTGCAGGTGGCGCATCTCCTCCTGCTGCTGCTGGTAGGTGCGCAGCAGCTCCTCATACAGAGCCCGGGGCACAGCGGCCTCCTCCAGACTGTCCATGTCCTCCGTGCCCGGCGAGGCCGCCACGAAGACCTCTTCTGGACACGTGCTGTGGCCCAGGCTCAGGCCGTTCTGCTTCTCCAGTCGGGCCACCACGGCCTCGATGCTCTTGTGCGCCACTTCGCTTGGCTTCCGCCCCTCGGGTCTCTGTGTAGGACAACGAGAATCAATTCAGCAAGGGCAGCTGGGACTTTCCTTGGACTGCGGCTCAATATTTCCCCAGACAATCCTAGAATCACAGAACCACAGAACATCAGTGCTTGGAGGTACTGGTGCAAACACTCAGTCAAAGCCCTTCATTTTGCAAATGGGGAAACAGAGGCACAGAGTGAGGAAGGGTCTTGCCCAAAGTTACACAGTTCGGGGGTGGCAGAACTGGGACTCCGGTTTCCCAGGCCAGCACTTTTTCCATTCCATCACTCTGCCTCTTTGATGCGTCTTATACCATAACCACCCTCCCCAGCCCCTGCCCCACTCCTAGGGCCTAGGCAGTGACTTATTCAATGTGTATTTGCAGAGAATCAGAGAGAAATCAGGGCAAGCCAAGTCATCCGAAGGGAGTTAGCACTCAAATCTCTTCAGCAACAAAAACATAAAAGTGAAAAAAAAAGGGGGGCCATTCCATCAAGTAACCTTTTCCTTAAGAATGCTTTAGTTGGGAAGGATGCTAAGAACTCTCATCCACCGTCATTGGTGGCAGCAACCATGTCTTATTTCTCTGTGTCTCCACACCTACCCAGGCTGGCACTTGGCAGGGGCTAGATAAGTGTTAACTTAATGAAAAGTTCAAAGAATGCTAGTGTTGAAAGGTTCTGCAGCTTAACTCCCTCAGTATACAGGCAAGGAAACTGGGGCTCAGAGAGGGAAGGACTATACTCAGAGTCATGCGGTGAACCACAGACAGAGCCAGACCCTGAACTTGGAGCCCAACTTCCAACCCTAGGCTCTTTGTCCCATGTCTGTCAGCCTCTCCTTGGACACTGGCCAAGCTGAAGCTTGGCAAGACAGTGGATACAGAACGGACAGTTCATTGAGAAGAGAAATTATCCAGGACTACCCAGGGGCTTTAATGCTGGAGGAAATTCCAGCTCCAGTGGATAAAGCATCCATTGACGGGGCATGGGAGTGATAGGACCAATGGAATTCTTCACCCAGGGCAGGAGGGCTGGCGCTCTCCTGACTAGGGGCACTTGTGGGAGGCACAGACAGCTGAGGACACAAGATTCTAGGTAACGTGACTGTGTCAGTTCAGGCCTGACTTAATTTCTCACTAAGTTTCTGTAAATTTGAAGAAGAAAATGACCATGACTCTGAGATTGAGTTTCACAACAAAATCCTACCCCATCATTTTATCGACTGGGATAAGGTGCTGCTAGTCTAGATGAACCTATCCGCTAAAATTGTAATGATCACTTTAGATATCTGTCTGCACCACGATGCTGGGAGACCACCAAGGGCGTGACCATACCTGGCTAATCTCTATGGCCGCAAGGACTGGCACAGGGCCAGGCCCATGCCAAGGTGCAATGGATGCATGGACTAAGCTCAGCTGCATCTTTTGGAGAATGCCTTGGGAATATCCTTGACCGTGTGTCCAAAGTCAGACCACGGTCAGTGCAGAAGGCATCCTTCTTTCCCCTCCCTTCTTCTGTGGTACCCAGCGCACACACACACAAAAACAAACCGACCAACCACCCAAACAAACAAACAAAAAGACTTAGCTTGTTGAGCAAGGTTTTCATTAGGTTTACAAGTGAAGGCTGGAGGAGACCAACTTGGGTGTCCACCAAAGGAAATGCAACCTTGTGCAAAAGTTCTCCTCCAGCCCATAAACCCTTTTCTGTGACCTGGCTCACCCCTTTCCTAGGGATTTTGCCCTTAGCTGTTGGTGGCAAGAGGATAGTGACTGGCTTGGAACTGCTGCCCAAGAAGAGATTGCTTAGTGTTTCTGGGGCTCAGCAGAGACCTCTCCAGAACTGTGGGCCAGGGAACAATGCACTGTTCCAGACCTTCCAGAGCGATGACACTGGGTACACGGCACAAACAGGACCATGCCTGGTGGTGGCACAGCGTTGAGTGAGGGCTCCCCGGAAGGTTGGCCAGCAACACACTAGCCGTCCCAACCCTCTCCTAACCTGTGACAGCAGGGGGCATTTACAAGGTGAGAGAAGGCCAGGTGAGAATTCTTTAGCTGTCAAAATCTGAAAATGCCCCCACATACTTCCAACAAAAGGAAAGACTTTGTTACCTTGATGTGTCTAAGCTGTAAATCTTCTTCCCCATAATCTTTAACCTCCCCATCTTCTTCTACGTGATTGAGAGAAAGTTTGGGGATTTTTATTTTCTTCTGCATCACACTGTTTTCAAGGTCAGATTTGTCTTCTAAAACGTATATCAAGAGAACAAGGTTCATTATGAGTCAAAATGCTAAAAAATGCCCATGTCCTTAAAAGCTAGAGAATGACAGAGGCCAGACCAGTTAAAAAGGAAAAGCAAACAAATGCAGGGCTTGTCCCCCCTGCATGTAGGGACCCTAAAAGCGGCAGTGCACACTGGACTCTGGGATTGGGCGTGTTTGCTGAACACCACTGCCTTACAAAGCGTTGAAATGGTATCCAGTGAATTCGCTTACAGGTTTCTCTAAGTACATCTTAAAGGTGGCCTTTTATGGAATTCTAGAATCTGGGAACTGAAAAGGTCCTTAGATTGCTATCTGGTCTAAACTTAACTAGCACATGAATCTCTCAACAACCGAGGTCTTTCTAAGCCAAGTGACTTCCCAGAAAAAGTTGGTGGGTTTCCGCCAGCTCAGGTACCAACAGCCATGAAAGGGATGACAGCTCCTTTGGAGGTAAAGCCAGGGCTGAAAGGACAGGGACCTCCCAGACAGAGGACAGGCTGAGGTAAGACAGATATAAAAAGAGCAACAAGTAACATTTACTGCCTTTTTACTGGTATCAGATCACAGGACAGAGTTTTATGGGCTTCAGCGACTAACTGGCCCAACTCTCTCACTTTACAGACGAAGGAACTTAGGCCCGGAGGATGGAAGGGGCTTGTGGAGGAGCCAGGAATGGGAAACAGGCCTCTGGTAACTCGCCCAGTACTATGTGTAGTAACAGCACATACTGAAGTGCGCTACAAACTGTGAAGTGCTCACAACTCCAAAGGGATGTTTTTTTTTCCCTGCTTTCTCATATCAACTTCAGATCATCTAAAAGAATTTTTTTTCTCCTGCCCAGATTTCAAACCTGATCTCCCAAATCTGTCTCTCACAGTGCATGTCAAAAGTAAAAGTTCAATCAGGAGAGCTCCAGAGGTAGGAACCTGAATATGCTCTGGAATTGACACTTTGTGATTAAAAACATGGGCATCTTGTTTACTGGATTGAACTGGGAGACTCTGGGAACTACTGTTTCTTACGCTCTTCCACGGCTCCCACTGCTGTGTCCTAAATGCAGCTGCCAGCACGTTGCCCAGTGCTGGAGGTGGCACATGGCGAGGTTGCCAGTTAATTTCTGTCTCTGAGGGTCTTTATGTGTGAGTGCGTGTGCGCACACATATGTGATTGTGCTAAACACACTCTCACACTTTCCTCGGGCCAGGCTTCTCTCCTCACAACTTGTTAGTAAAGCTGAGAAGGAAGCTTATATGCTCACATCTATTCCAGAATATAGTCAAATGCCAAATCTTTCCAAACGGTCTTGGGAATGGAGCCCCAGCTGGTCAGAGGTGGGACTCTGGTAGGAGAGGAACCTCAGTGTGACCCTCAGCTCTTCTGCGACAGGCTGAGGAAGGAGGGGCACGGCCTTAGTCTAGCTGAGCTCAGGCGTCTCCTCTGCCATGGGCAGATCGCGGCAATAATTCACAGAGCTCACTGCATAGTGCCTGTCACATAGCAGGTGCTCAATGAACCGGATGTTATAATTGCTATTATCAACGTATTAGGAATCATTTATTTCCCTAAGCATAAGGTGAATAAAGATACAACTTAAAAACAAAGGAATGACTTTGGAACAGCATAGGAATAGAGTGTAAGGGACCTGCCCAAGAGGAAAAAGAGGTGGTGTTTGTTAACAACCTCCTCCTGGTTCAAGATGAAAACAGCCTTTCCCACTGCCTGGAGGAGCTTGGGTTCTACTTCCAGAAGCAAAGCCTGTCCTGGTTCTCTTTGTGTCCATAAAATATACCCGATGGGTTAGACGTGAACAATCCGTTAGAGAGGTGGTTTTTCTAAAAAGAGTAACAGCTTCCTTCCAATAAATCATTGTGACTCTTTCCAAGCCAAGAAACTGCTAAAATGTAAAAACCTAAAGAAAGTACTCCAATGGAGTTATCCAGAAATGGGACGGGTGGGTGTTTTCACAGGTGGAAAAAACAAACAGAGAGAAAGAGAGAGAGGCAAGAGACGAGAGGATGGTGTTAGGATTTCTGAATGTGTTGGGGCAAAGCTCCTGGGCTAGTTTTCAGTTTGACAAGTTCACAGGCAAATTTCGAGATGCGGCCACCAAACTGGAAATGACCAGCTGTGTTGCGCCCCTAAGCTGACACTCTGTTGCTCAGGATCATGATGATGTGTAGAAAAGCAATCATTCCAACTGACAACACTAATCTTTAAAAGGAGAAGGACCCTCAGATCATCTCACTTGACCCTTTCAAAATGCAGATGAGGAAACTGGGGTTCCAAATGGTGAAGTCCATGCATACACACGGTCAGGCCCAGGGACACAGGAGGAGCAGCAGAGGCAGGGTTTCCATCTTGAAGAGCCCCGCATTGGGCAAGGGCATGACAGACACGAACAGTGTGAGAACTAAGACCTAGAACCAGGGTCTGGAGTTCTTCCTCCTACGCCTGACCTTAACATTTACCGAGAATTTATACCTACAGGACCTCGCTTGGTGCCTGGAGACAGAGGGAAAAAGCATCCAGTTGGGGGGGCGCAAGAAAAGTCATGGAAAGGTAATCCAATACTGAATGTGAATAAGGGGAGGGTAACTGCTATAGGCCCTTGTGGGCAAGGAAGGTCACTTCCATCAGTGCGACCACAGAAGGCTTTTGAGAAGAGAGAGCCTTTGAGGCAATCTCCTCGCTTGCTGGGTGATCTTGGGCAAGTTACATTACTTTGCGCCTGTTTCCTCATCTGTGACTTGACGTAACGAATTTCTACTCACACTGCAAGGATGCCGTGAAGATGGTCAAATCTCTATGTTAAGAAGTTGAGCAGAGTGAATGGCGCTTGGACAGTCACTGCTCATAAAAGAATAGCTATTCAAGGACAGTGAGGATCTGGACCACACAACAGGGGTAAAGAATTGGAACCAAAAGGGGTAAAGAATTGAAGCCCAAAAGGGGAAAGTTGGGAAGACATTTAGACTGGAATGCTTACAAAAGATTGTTCAGTTACAGGCAGGAGCGAGAGGTGAGGAAGGAAGTTGGAGTGTGTAGAATGCATGGCCTTGCATGCCAAGGTTAGAAGAGCTGTGGTCCAGCCTGCAGGCATGGAAAGAACTAGGAACCAGACAACCTGGATTCCAAATCCAGTTCTGCCACTTGGTGGGGAAGAAGTCAGGCAAGCCTCTAGGTCAGTGAGTGTCATTTCCCTTTTTCTGGGGAAATGGAGATGCAACATCTAACTCAAGTGGGGATCAAATCAGCTGCGTTAATGTGCATTGAAAACAAGAGAGCCTGTGCAGACAAGCAGATGAGGCTCAGCAGGACCTGCTGTGTGAAACCTGCTTCTTGAGGAGGTGACCTGCCCACTCTCCTGGTTTGGGCAGCACTCGGGCGGGGTACCATTCCCTACCCGATGACAGGAGTCCCCCCTCCTACCAGCTGCACCCAAGGCTCCCTGCTCTCCCGCATAACTGGAGTGCCTCCTCCTTCCTTGTTTGCTTGACACACTCCACTCCTGTCCTCCTTCCTCCTCAAAGGTCCCATTACACATTGTATAGCAGGTCCTTGACTAACATCATTTCATACAACATGTTTTCTTATAATGTTGATGAGATGCCATAAGAACTTAACTCTTGTTTATATCAATTAGCTTCTGGTAAAACTGGACTCATGATATACTGTCTTGCTACAGTTCCAAGAACCTATCAAGGACATTAAGCGAGGACTTACTATTAGCATCTTCTCTGTATCCTATTTTCTTATTATGTTGCAATGATCTGCTTTAACATCTACCTTCCCAATGGATTGTGAGTAACCTCAGAGCAGGGCCCATATCATGGGCTTGGCCATACAATGGGGACTCATCACACAAAAATGCTTAATGGAAGAATAATAAAAAAGAGGCTGTTCCAATAATCATATAAAAAGATGTTCAGAACCATCAGTCATTAAGGAAATGCAAATCAAAAGTGAAATACCACTTTCACACTCACTCGGATGGCTATAATCAGACAAGAAAAGAAAAGAAAATAAAGGAAAAGAAAAGAAAAATAACATGTTGGGAGCATGTGAAGAAATTGGAACCCTCGTGCATCCCTGGCGGGACTGTAAAATGCGGCAGCCACTGTGGGAAATGGTTTGGCAGTTCTGGATTAAACAGTGAAGATGGTTGCAGAATGTAGTGAATATGCTAAGAACCAATGGATTGTGCATTCTTTAAAATGGTGAATTTGATCTTACATGAATTATACTTTAATTAAACAATAGGACCACTGGTGAAATGCCTACTACCTATCAGATACCACCATAAGGCTCTTCACATCTGTTACTACATGTCACACCAACCCTGCCATTAAGTATTATTAGCCATAGTTTGTTTCTCCCCTCCTCCTCACCCCCCATAAAAGAAGAAATGAGATTCAAAGGAGGCCTTTAGGCCACCCAGATAGGAAGGTGCAGAGCCAGGATTTGATCTAGGTTCCTCTGCCTTCTCAGCCTAAGCTCTGTTCTCTCTAAACACACACCTGGAACATGGAAGAGCCAGAATAAATGCTGAATGAATGAATAAAGGCTAAGGATAAGGATATCCAAACCCCCGGCCTAAAGCCCAAAGCAGAAACCACTTTACTCCTGCACTCCCACCAGGCCTGTCTAACCACCCCAGCACAATAGAAACAGACTGTAGCCAGGCCTTGGGGTGTCCTCCGAAAAGGTAGGCTGCATGGTACAGGAAGCTCTCAAATGACAGGAATAAGACCCCGACAAGAGCAGAAGCAGATGGTACCTCTAATCACACGCCTCCTGACCTGGATCCTGGCTGTCCAACGCTTGGCCAGGCGGCTCCTGAGGCTCCTCTAGAGCTAACTGGCCTCTGGCTCCATCCTACTGCTCACCAGTCTCCTCCTGGCCCTGGGCTCCCTGGGTGGGGGCTCAGGAAGACCTGGGGCCTCCACTCCTCCTTTTCTGTAGTCAGTGCGCACTTACTGAG